GACCTTTCATTTGAGTACCCACATCAATTTTTCATATATTTATATATATTATATATTTGTATATATGAAAAATATATCAAAATTCAAGTGGGTACTCAAATTAAAGGTCTCGATGAGTGTAACATCGGGAAGAGCTTATATCTTTAGAAATGTCAATAGTTCACAAGATACAAGGTCATTTCTTTATTATTGATATTTTTAATGATATAAGCTCATCCCGATGTTACACTCATCAAGAGCTCTCATTTGAGTACCTACATGCATTTTGATATATTTTTCATATATACATATATATAATATATAATATATACAAATATATGAAAAATTGATGTGGGTACTCAAATGAAAGGTCCCCATGAGTGTAATGTCGAGGTGAGCTTATTTCTTATTAATTAGGTGATTTTAATTCTTATTACACTGCTCATTTTTTATTCTAAATAAATTTCTTTTCTCAACGTTCTGCATATCTCCCGATTAATATATCCCATTGAAACCTCTAAATAATATTTTTTTTTTTTTAATCCAGGTGGACCATTTGGAGCCTTCGTAACATTTACTCTCTGCTCTTTGATAATAAGTTCCCTTGGTTGGCACGCAGCATACTACATAACCAGCGCTTTGATGCTACTCTTCTGGCTGTTCTGGGTTTGGCTAGCCTACGACACACCGGACGTCCACCCAACAATAACAGATGAAGAAAAAACCTACATCAAGGAGCAAATAGGATCAAGCGTAAGTAAGCAGAAGGTGGCATTGCCAATCGTAGCAATGGCAACATCTCCACCATTCTTGGTTTTACTTTGGGCGCATTTCGCGAACATGTGGGGAATTTACTTCCTTTCCACAAACGGTCCAAAATACACCCTGGAAATCCTGGGCCTGGACATGAAATCCGGAGGATTCCTCACGGGGTTGCCTTACATCGCTAGATTGGGCGCTGGCGCTCTGTTTGCAGCTGCTGGAGATGCGATAAGAAAGCGCAATATTTTGTCAGTCATCTGGATCCGTAAATCGTTCATGATTTTCTCTCACGTTGGTCCAGGTGTCGCGTTACTTATTATGACTTACGTTGAGTGCGATGCCGTCGCTGCAATGTCCATGATGATCCTAGCCCTGGCTTTGAATGGAGCTGCTTGTCAGACCAGCTTGCAAAATCACCAAGATCTTGCGCCAAATTTCGCTGGATCACTCTACGGAATTATGAACGTTTTTGGAAGTGTTCCTGGGTTCGTTATTCCTGCTGTTGTTGGTGCGTTGACTAATCATCGCAATGGTATTGAAGAGTGGCGCTGGATGTTCTGGATTTCTGCTGTTGTATTCTTCTCCGCTACTGTATTATTTTGGATCCTTGGATCTGCTAGTATCCAGCCCTGGAATGATTACAATAAAAGTATTGTCACTGCTAATATTGGTGAGGAAGAAAATAAAATTAATGAAGTTAATGGCAAAGAAGTTGCTGTTCAAAGCGAAGATGAAGAAAATGAACGGTTGTAAAATTAAATGTTAGTTTAAAGGCGTATAAAAAAATTTTTTTTTTCTTCAATTATACTCAAGAAAATTTAATTGAAAATTTTTTGAATCTAAAAATAATTTTGAATCAAGAAAAATTTTTTAATTGAGTAAAATTTATTTAAATAAAATAAAAAAATTGCTAATTATGCAGAACGGCTCCACCTATTTTTGAGTAAAAAAAATAAAAAAATTGATCATTTTGGTGAATATTTACAACCATTTTAATTTTCATTTTTTTGAACGAAATTTATGTTTGATTTTATGGATAATTTTTTTTTTTTTAAATACAAAAAAATGAACAACTTAAAAAAAAAATTTTGATTATCACAATTTTAACAAATTTATAAATTTTTTTTTAAATTGTTCGTTTTTTTATGTGCTTTTCAAAAAAAATATATCAAAAACATTAAATAGAAATTTTATCCATAAACATGAGTCAAAATTTTTTTCAACTTCTAAAGGCAAAAAAACTAGCAAAATCTTTATTCAATGCGTTGTAAAAATAAGCAGAATTAAAAAAAAAATTGAAAATGTTAATTTTTCAACTAAGTTAGTTATGGCCTAAAATAAGGTTGACCCCACTTGTAAATAATTATCTTTTTTTTCTTTCAAAAATGTGTTCTTTACGGCAGATAAAAATTATGAAAATTTTTTATTTTTTGTTTCATTTGAAAGGTAAAAATTTACGATTTTTAATGTGTTTTTCAATGAAACGGTTATTTAAATAATTTTTTTTTTTTAAAGAGAAAAAAAGAATAAAATAGAAAAAAAAATTCAGAATATCATAATTTGAAAATTTTTTAAATCATAAATTTTTGAAGTTTTAAATGAAAAAAAAAAAAAAAAATATTTCATTTTTTTTTTTTTTATCATTTTTTTCTTATAATCCGTGAAGAATAATTTGATAAAAAAAAAAGTTGAAAAATATCAATTTTTGGATTTTTTATTTTATTTCAATTTTTTCTAAAATAAGTAGAGCCCTAGTTCTGCATAATTACTGAAAAGTTTATTAATTTAAGAATTTTTCTACTCAAATCAAGAAGATTAAGTTTTTCAAATTTATTTATTTGATTCAAATTTATTTTTTTTTCTGAGTAGGGAATTTATAAAAGTAAAAATTTGGGTAAAAAATTTTTTAATTTTTGGAAATTTAACTGAAAACACAATCACAGAATTTTTCTAAATTTTCAATTTTTTTTAACGAAAAGTTAAAAATTTTGTTTTTATTTTTTTCAGTTAATTTTCACAAAATATAAAAAATTTTTAACTTTTAAAAATTTGAGTGTAAGTGTTATCAGTTACTTAAAAAAAATAAATTTTTAAAGTTCTTAAAAGCTACTTTTGGCTTAAAAATTTTTTTTTTTCCTATTTTTACCCAGATTTTTATTTTTATACATTTCCAAGTTGATTAATTTTTTTTTTATACGGTCTTTTGGCATTAATAAAGCGATTCATTAAACATCACAGGTATTATTTAATATAAATAAATAAATGTACACTAAAAAAATTTTTTTGTACGTAAATCTGTAGAAATTTCATCGTAAAATTTTTTTGTGCCAATTATTTCTTGTTTGACATTTTTGTTACTTATTTTTTTTTAATTGAAAAAAATATTTTTTTTTATAAAATTTAATCTTGGTATTGAATAAATAGCTTGATGTTAATTAATATAAAAATAAATACAAAATGTCTATATCATGAAATAAAATTGATCAAATATAAAGGTTGAAAAAATATGTAAAAGCTAATAATCTGTATAGAATAAGACTGCTCAAATGTTTGTGATTGTGAAAAATGATAATAAGAAAAAAATAATATCACTCTTGAACAAAATGATATTTTTTTTTGATAATTGAGTATGAGCAGCTACATTAATTACAATTACAACAAGACTGCAGTAGTTATAATTTATTATTATTTTAAAATAATATTAAACTTTAATAGAATACACTTTATGTCATTTACAGAAATAATTAAATATTTTATTTCACTTAAAATTTTTTTAGTAAAAAAAAAAGCATTAATTTAATAGCTTGATTTCTTTTTTAATAAATTATTTTTCCTTTAAAGTTTTTCAGTAAATCCAATAAAAATTAAACAGATTATAGTTTTTTTAAATGAAAAAAAAAAATGACATATTTTTATAATAAAATTTACAAAATGAACAATGATTAATAATAATTACCTGTTAACTGAATATACTCTAAATTGAAAAGATCTTGACAGTTATTTGCATTTAAAGTATTAATTATTCTGTACGTTAATTTATAAGTGAAATATGTAAAACAATTTAATTTTAACATTATTTTTATGCATTGTACGATGTTTTTCATTCATATAATTGTAACTCATTTGTCAATTATTGTATTTTTTCATAAAATGTAAAATAATGAGATAATATTTCAATTACACTTAAGTTTTCTTTTTTTTAATTTATGTTAATATTAAGTAACAAAATTTTCTTTAGAAAAGTTTTAAAGTTGGTACGACATAGGTAAAAAGAATAATTTATGACTTAATTTTTACCAAAAAAAAAACTAAGCAATTATCAGTAATAAAAATTTATTTGAAAAAAATTAGAAATGTAATATTATTGAGAGAATACGAAAAATTTTGTCTCCAGGATAGTAATATGATAAAATCGGTTTTTTAGTAAAATCTCTAGATACATAATTAAAAAATGACCTTGTATCTTGAGAACTATTGACATTTTTAAAGATATAAGCTCACCCCGACGTTATACTCATCGAGACCTTTCATTTGAGTATCCACATCAATTTTTCATATATTTTTTATATTTATGTATATTATATATATATATATGTATATATGAAAAATATGTAAAAAATGCATGTGGGTACTCAAATGAAAGCTCTTGATGAGTGTAACATCGGGATGAGCTTATATTTTTAAAAACGTCAATAGTTAAGAAAGTACAGAGCAATTTAACAAATGTTTTGTAAACTATTGACATTTTTAAAGATATAAGATCACCTCGACATTACACTCGTCGAGACCTTTCATTTGAGTACCCACATCAATTTTTTATATATTTATATATAGTATATATATGTATATATGAAAAATATATCAAAAATGCATGTGGGTACTCAAATGAAAGCTCTTGATGAGAGTAACATCGGGATAAGCTTATATCTTTAAAAATGTCAATATTTTAAAAAGTCCAGTGTGATCGAACATAGTGATCGAACTTGAGACGGAAATTTTCATTAAAAAAATTGTCTTTCTTTTAACTAAATATTGAATGAAAAAGATATCTTAAATTTTATGAAAAATAAATTAAAACTCTGATTTATTATTTTTGAAATTCACACTTTTATTTGATACTTTTCGAAAATTTTTTTGGTATAGTTGAATGAAATATAAACGGATTAATTTTTTATCATAAATATTTTCAAGTACCAAATTTAATTAAATCATAAGATTCCGATCGAGTTTTAATCAGTATTATGAATAAATGATAAAAATTAATTGAAAATAAAAAATGTCCTTGTTATTTTATTCTGTCGTAAATTAAAAAGTTGTTTTTCCAGCTGAAATTTTTTATATAAAAATCGTCGATGGTCATTAAGAAATACAAAAGGTTAATATAATATTTTGTATTAAATGAAGCTCTTACGTTGTTTCACTTTCTCAAAAAAACAAACTTATTTTTGTTATCAATGGCTATTGGCCCATTTAATTTTTAATTAAATACTCATTATCAATTTACGATTTTAACACCTTGTTTTTTTTTCATCATAATAAATAACTTTATTTCTTCTTACGAAGAAATATAAAATTGTTCTCACAGTAACTTTCTTGGTGAAAAAATAACTTGTAAATTTTATTCAAATATTTTTTTAAGAAAATTTTATTAAAAAAATTAAAATTAAAAATTTCACATGCAAAAAATTTTTTAAAAATTATACATGTAATTTTTTATAATTAATTTTTTACTTTTAATTTAATTGAAAAAAAAAAATCATTTTAAATTTGAAAAAAAATCAGCAAATTCTAAAAAAATTAAGATATTAATTTTTCTTCTTTCTAAATATTTTATTAAAGATTAATAAATATTTACAAATTCTAAAAAAAAAATTCCTTAACAGTTAATAAATCTTTTTTGCCAATTAATTTATTAATAAATAAATATTAAATTACTAAATAATTCATAAAATAAAAATTTTTCAGTGCACTAATATTAGTAGCCGATATTTAAAATTTTCATAATTAATATAATTTTATTAAAAAAATTAAAATTAAAAATTTCACATGCAAAAAATTTTTTAAAAATTATACATGTAATTTTTTATAATTAATTTTTTACTTTTAATTTAATTGAAAAAAAAAAATCATTTTAAATTTGAAAAAAAATCAGCAAATTCTAAAAAAATTAAGATATTAATTTTTCTTCTTTCTAAATATTTTATTAAAGATTAATAAATATTTACAAATTCTAAAAAAAAAATTCCTTAACAGTTAATAAATCTTTTTTGCCAATTAATTTATTAATAAATAAATATTAAATTACTAAATAATTCATAAAATAAAAATTTTTCAGTGCACTAATATTAGTAGCCGATATTTAAAATTTTCATAATTAATATAATTTTATTAAAAAAATTAAAATTAAAAATTTCACATGCAAAAAATTTTTTAAAAATTATACATGTAATTTTTTATAATTAATTTTTTACTTTTAATTTAATTGAAAAAAAAAAATCATTTTAAATTTGAAAAAAAATCAGCAAATTCTAAAAAAATTAAGATATTAATTTTTCTTCTTTCTAAATATTTTATTAAAGATTAATAAATATTTACAAATTCTAAAAAAAAAATTCCTTAACAGTTAATAAATCTTTTTTGCCAATTAATTTATTAATAAATAAATATTAAATTACTAAATAATTCATAAAATAAAAATTTTTCAGTGCACTAATATTAGTAGCCGATATTTAAAATTTTCATAATTAATATAATTTTATTAAAAAAATTAAAATTAAAAATTTCACATGCAAAAAATTTTTTAAAAATTATACATGTAATTTTTTATAATTAATTTTTTACTTTTAATTTAATTGAAAAAAAAAAATCATTTTAAATTTGAAAAAAAATCAGCAAATTCTAAAAAAATTAAGATATTAATTTTTCTTCTTTCTAAATATTTTATTAAAGATTAATAAATATTTACAAATTCTAAAAAAAAAATTCCTTAACAGTTAATAAATCTTTTTTGCCAATTAATTTATTAATAAATAAATATTAAATTACTAAATAATTCATAAAATAAAAATTTTTCAGTGCACTAATATTAGTAGCCGATATTTAAAATTTTCATAATTAATATAATTTTATTAAAAAAATTAAAATTAAAAATTTCACATGCAAAAAATTTTTTAAAAATTATACATGTAATTTTTTATAATTAATTTTTTACTTTTAATTTAATTGAAAAAAAAAAATCATTTTAAATTTGAAAAAAAATCAGCAAATTCTAAAAAAATTAAGATATTAATTTTTCTTCTTTCTAAATATTTTATTAAAGATTAATAAATATTTACAAATTCTAAAAAAAAAATTCCTTAACAGTTAATAAATCTTTTTTGCCAATTAATTTATTAATAAATAAATATTAAATTACTAAATAATTCATAAAATAAAAATTTTTCAGTGAACTAACATTATCGTAAAAATTAAAAAAAACGAATCATAATTTATTATTATTTTTTTTTTTATAATATTACATTTATTCAAGCTGTTTATCGGTCATCAATACATCATACTCGGGTATCGTAGATGGTCAGTATACATACACATTAAAACTTCCAAGAGCGTAAAATACAAGTTGTGTTAGTAAGCGTATATAAGTTCAAAAGGCTCTCATTATCGCATTAGCGGTCATACTGAAGCTAACGAAAAGTTTCCCTTCAGTATATAAGTGTAGGCGTTCTTGAGAAGTCAAGAATGTTTAAACGTGTTTTATATCTGTTACTGCTGTTATTATACACATTATTATGCGGAGCCGGAATTTCACGGGATTCACAACAGAGATATTCATATTCAAAGACTTGTGGATATGAGGTACATAATAAATTTATAAATTTCAATTAATATAATTAATAATTAATTAAATTTATTTTTTTTTCTTAATTGTTTAGTCGTGTAACAAAATAGATCCGAAGAAACTTAATGTTCATTTAGTACCGCATTCTCATGATGATGTTGGCTGGTTGAAAACTGTCGACCAATATTATTATGGAAGTAAGAATTTTTTTAATTTTATTTTTTATACACGGAAAGAACAAGATGACACTGGATACCATCTCAGATTAAACTCAGTGACATCTGAGGCGAAAAAAATTTTTACGATGGTAACTAGTATAATCCAGATTATACTGAATAATATCTGGATTATACTCATTGTAATCTGGATTATACTCATTGTTATCTGGATTATACTAGCTACTATCTGAAAATTTTTTTTCACTCAGTATAATCTGGGATTATATCCAGTATAATCTTGTTCTTTCCGTGTAGACATCCAAAAAATGTAATAATTACACACTAGAGATCAAAAAGTAATTTTATTTGCAGAATTTCAATAAAATAAAATAATAATTTCAATAAATAAAATAATCCGTGAACCCCAATTGTAAGCTCTGTTCTGTGGTGCAGTAGCTAGCCATTGTTGTCCCGTTGGTATTCGAATTTCCACTATGGCAATAGCAAACCGCCTGTCACTGGTAACAAAGTCCACAAACTGACCAGGAAAGCGTAATAAATGCTTAGCAATCTATGGAGAGCGACCAGAGGGAAGTAAAGCAGAGCAAAGCAAAGCCTATGCTACCGTCTCTGATATTCAGAGTTTCTCGCTGATCCTTTATGAGTTAGGATTCTCCACGGTACGATGAAGGATGCTAGCCAGGAATATGTGCTGTAGGGTAGGCCAGGGTATGGCTGATGCTGATGATGCTTTTGTGGAGGATAGCAGATAGATAATATACCTTCTACCTTCTGTCTGTCTGTCCTTTCTCGCGGGAGTTTGGTAATGCAGCGGCGGGGCTGCGTCGGAGGGAGGATCGGCGGAATTTTGTTGGGAGACGGTCGTTGAACTTGTACAGAGGGTATGTAGTATATAGTGATAGCTTCAGCTAGCTAGCTAGCTAGCTAGTTGCTGGATGGTGGCTGCTGGCAGTCTGTCTGGCGCAACCCTAGGTTGGCCCAGCCCTAGAATACGCGACGGTGGTGGGAGCTCTGGATTTTCAGGGTTTATCAGAGAGCTCTGTTAACTTGGGGATTTGACGGAGGCTAAATAAAGGGATGGGTTTATATATTCCTCATCCTCATCCTCATTCTGATTCTCATCCGAGTCCTCCGAGCTCTGTTACGTCTCTAGATTGAACGCTACTGCTCTGTGAACCGCCGACGAATTACAATCCCCGGAGGTTTTCACAAATTACTGATTGATTTCGTTAAGGACTTATCAATCCATGATTATTAGCTCTCCGTTTAATTGTTGCCATTGTTTGGGAGACCTCTGTGGGGAGTAGATTATTGGACCAAGGATAACAATAAGGTGATGATTTTATTAGCGTCATATAATGAAATAGGTTTTTTTAGTGAAATTTAGTATCTTGAATTTGTATCATATTCACCGATAGTCAATTTATTATTATAAATTCGAAAATGCTCTATCTCTAGATACATAATTGAGAAATTATCATGTATCTTGTGAACCATTGACATTTTTAAAGATATAAGCTCATCTCGATGTTACATTCATTGAGACCTTTCATTTGAGTACCCACATCAATTTTTCATATATTTTATATATATTATATATTCCACAAATACCATATATATGAAATATAAAAAAAATGCCATGTGGGTACTTAAATAAGAGCTCTAGATGAGTGTAACATTACGATGAGCTTATATCTTTAAAAATGTCA